CATAAACAAAAGCAAAACATGTTTACTTCACTATCCAAATGTTCCATAGCATAAAAGTAACACATCTTAATATAATTTTCCACAGAATCATATATTTACAATATGATCAGTATCATGATTTCAGTTGCACATATGTATGTGATATTTTAGAATGCCTTGACCTATAATGATGTGCGTGTCAACTTTACTTGGGATGAGTGGAGTTTGCTGGATACTTCTCAGAAGAATCTCTATAAAGATGTGATGCTGGAGACCTACAAGAACCACGCTGATATAGGTAAGACTGTATTTTCCTTCAAATTTTAAAATAATACGACAACAGTTCCTATTGGTTATTGATGCTTTTCTTTAATTTTATTGAGAGAGAAAGGAATGTGGTAAATAAACCAGTCATATTTCTAAAGTTCACTGAAGAGAGTAACTTAAATTTTACACATTTTTCAATAATAAATATACATTTTTGTTACTATATTTTAGAATGCAGTAAGGAAGACCATACTACTGAAGAAGAATGTACAAGTTCTAAAAGACATGAAAGGTAATTTTCATCTATGAACTGATAAAAATGTGCCTCTGATAAAGTGAAATATGACTTGTAAGTCTGAAATAGAACCAACACTGTATTGAAGCACAGCTTAAATACATTGATGATTATCAAACTCCCACAAAACCATATACCTCAGCTTCAGGTAGGTGATCTGCATTTGCAACACATTATTTAAAGAAAGAAGTCAAGAAAACAATGCCTTGAGAGAAATTACCACTTGAATCATCACAGCATGAGAGTTATGCTATAGAAATTTAATTTCATGTATTTCATATTACCTATATTACTAAATGTATACATATGTTTGATGTTAAAGGGATATCTCCATACCTTCCATTAAGAAAATATTCCAGAAAAATTTAGTTTTACTCAAGTACCTGCTGTTATTTTCTAAGTTTAGTGAAAGGGACAATTGTTGTCAAGAGTAAAAGGGCAGTTATTGCAGAGAATCCTTAGTCTCTCTAGCACATGTCTATAAGGAACAGAAACTCAAACTGAACTAAGTGTGGAAGTATCTTCTTTGTAAATGTCCTTTAATAATTATATCATGTATTAGTCAGGATACAAACCATACCAGCAAAGGGATATGGGGGACAAAATATACCTACATCTCAGAATATTAAAAAGACACATAGTAGTCCCAATTTAAGAATTGTTGTTGAATTTGTTTCAAGTGATGAAGTAATTTATTTTTCTGCTTCATTGTTGATACACAAATAAGTTCACTCTGCAGAAAACCAGAATGACTATAGGACTGTGTACATACTTCTGTTTGTTCCAGTTCATTAGCAAATGTAGTATGACTCAAAGTGTAGGAAAATTTCAAAATTCAATAATGGTGATAAAATCTGATTTTTTCCAATTCTTTTCATTATGTAAAACATCACCTGTAGAAAAAGTTTCTAAAAATTAGAAACATATATGAGAGGATTATACCTATACTAGTATCTTGAAAGATGCAAGACAACATCTTAAAAATGTCAAACAAGCCTTACTGTAGGGGAAAATATGAGTGTAAAATCAGTGATCAGCCTGTATGATCTGATTCTTCTTCACAATTGCAAAAAATGTAATATTATTTATACAGATATCAATATTCATCAATGTATTGAATATGGTAAAGCATTCACATGCCCATTTTCTTTTCAGGCATGAAGGAAATCAAACTGGAGAGAAGCCTTCTGAATATACACAATGTCTTAAAGTCTTTGCATATAACAGTCATCTTCAAAGGCATCAAAGAACACACACTGGAGAGAAACTGCATAAATGTGACCAATGTGCTAAAGCCTTTGCTAGTCACAGTAAACTTCAAATGCATAAAAGGACACATACTGGAGAAAAGCCCTACAGATGTAATCAGTGTAGTAAAGCCTTTTCTTGGCAAAGTAATCTTCAAATACATAAAAGGACACATACTGGAGAGAAACCCTATGAATGTAATCAGTGTGGCAAAGCCTTTTCTCAGTACAGTACTCTTCAAAGTCATAAAAGGACACATACTGGAGAGAAACCCTATGAATGTTATCCATGTGGTAAAGCCTTTGCTCATTCCAGTCATCTTCAAAGACATAAAAGGACACACACTGGAGAGAAACCCTATGAATGTAATCAGTGTGGTAAAGCCTTTTCTCAGCAAAATTCTCTTCAAAGGCATAAAAGGACACATACTGGAGAGAAACCCTACGGATGTAGTCAGTGTAGCAAAGCCTTTTCTGATCAAAGTACTCTTAAAAAACATAAAAGGACACATACTGGAGAGAAACACAATTGGCCCTGTAACCAAAGGCAAAGAAACAAACTCTATCCCTGATAAGATGAGGAAAAATCCAACCAATATCTGAGCTCAAAACCAACCAATCCCCAAGCAGGAATCCATTAAATCTCAAAGGTTTTTCAATTTCATGGATTGAAGTTTTAACAATTAACATGCTGAGAAATATTCTCCATGAAAAACCTACGTCACTAAGAAGATATATATAAACACTGTGCTTCTTCAGTTGGAATATAGCATTTTCCACAATGATAGTGGCAGCCAATTTCCTGGATTCTTCCCACTCAAGTAAATCTCGTCCATCAGTTTCAGTAAAAATCTT